TTTTATTTTATATACTTTATACTTCTAATTGACTTTTATTAAAAATTTTTAAGTTTATTTAAGATAATTTCAAAAGAGGACCTATCAATACCTTTGTTTGATGAAAGTTTATACGTTACTGATGTTCAATTCACTGCGCATGCACGAGTTTCCCGACCCATCTCGGAACACTTACTACGTTTACACGGCACGCTTTACGCCGAAGTTATAACATCGATGTTATGAAACTGGCCAGTCACGGTCATTCCATTCTTCAGAGGAATAGCTATGATTGGCCATTTTCATAACATCGATGTTACAACTTCGGCATAAAGGCCCGTCTACAATACACGAAGTAAGAAGTAAGAGTAAGAAGTTGACCAATCACAGTCGAATGTGAGAAGAATAATCGACTGTGATTGGTCAATTTCTTACTCTTACTTCTTACTTCGTGTATTGTAGACGATGCCTAAAGCGTGCCGTGTAAACGTAGTAACTGCCGGGTAGACACTACTCGCATTACTCATGGCTGCATTCGGAAACATCACCCGAGTGCTCCCGAGTATCGTATTATCTTTGTTGTTCACTCAGTGTTAAACAAGGATAAGAAATATTTTATACAAAATATTGATCGACACGAAGCGTATTTGTAAATAGTTGCATAAACGCAACATCATTAAACATGTTTTTTTTTATATATTAATCTTCCATCGATTTAAGTCGAATACATACCATACATGTAGAACCATTATTTTTCCTACAATTGTTGATTTTAAGATACACGAATAATCGCAATTGTTACACGAAAATATATTATTTGACCTTATACATATAATTAATTGAACTATTTACATTACAAAAGTATATTAAGGAGGAAAAAAGGGAAAAACAGGATTTTCGTGTGGGACTATCAGCGTACTGTCTGCACATTTTATTTACGCATCGATTAATTGAGTTTGACGTTTACTAGTGTGGTATAGAATCCACACTGTTGGGGCCCTTGGGGGCCCACGCGCATTGGTCGCCCTGCAGACACGCGCGCGAAGGACGACGCAAGCGAGGTTGCCGGAGACACACGTTGTGGGACAGACTTCTTCCAACCGTTACGCCTATTACAAGACTCTTTGTACAATAAACTATTGCTATACGCATATTCTGTAAATCTATCATTAGAGATCTATATTCTGCGAATAAAGTGCACCCAAACGACACAACAATTGGCGCTGCGGATTCGAGACTCAAGTTTGAGGTTAGACGAACCACGTGCACGATCTCAGGATGGAACAGCTATTAACTGCGTTAACTCAAAGTCAACAGCAGCTCGCTCAGAGCCAGCAGATTCTCATGCAACAGTTAGCCGATTCGCAGAAACACATGGTAACGCTTTTGCAGCAAACGCAAGGTAACCTCACTTCTACTTCTTCGCAATCAACGGTTTCGGACAGCGTTGTTTCCGCCCCTCTGGCTAAATCTTCTCAATTCTCAAGCCTTGCTGAGCGTTTGGGCAAATTTATTCATGAACCGGATAAGGGAAAAACCTTTACGTTGTGGTACGAACGCCACGAGGGCACCTTTACGGATGGTGCAAAAGGTTTAATCGAAGAGGAACGTAAGCAGTTACTTCTTAACGCCTTGGGCGATGATGAATACCAACGTTTATTAGGCCGTTTGTCGCCTGTGAAGCCATACGATTTGAATTTCTCTGACCTTGTGAAGCAGCTAAAAAAGCAATTTCATGACAATAAGTCGCTTTTTCAACGCCGTTTCGAACCGCTTAATTTTCGGGCAACGCCGCCTATGGCGGTAATCTATATTCTTGATCGAATAAGCATTCTGGGAGATGCTTTTGAAATTAATAATTTCAATATAGACCAGCTCAAAATTTTGCTTACTGCAATTGCACTTAGCGATCATGCTTATCACACTGAACGTGCTCTCTTGTTTAAAATTACAGCGGAGAAAGAAAATTGCACTTATAGCGATATTAGAGAAATCTGTTACGCCCATGTAGTACGTTCTGCGGATGTAAAACGCGTCGAGGATCAACATAGCAACGAAGTTAATGCCGTACAAAAATGGTCCGGAACTAAAAGTACAAACAAGGAAGCCAAGCATCGCACCAAGCAGCCGTTGAAGAAAGTAACATCTTCGCAATGTCACGGCTGTGGCCTTACGACACATTCAAGAGAAGACTGTCCGTTTAAGGAAGCGGACTGTAGAATTTGCAAAAAGACTGGCCATATTGCAAAAGTCTGTCGCTCTAAAGGTAAGAAGAAAATTGAATCAATTTATCTGAAAAATGTTTCAGGAGCTTCTCTCAAGCATCGTAAATACGTCGAAATTTTGCTAAACGGTAAAAAGATAAAAATGCAACTGGATACTGGCGCGGACATAACAACAATCGGAACAAAGGTATAGACTAAATTAGGATGCCCTACGCTGCAACTGTACAAATCTTCTTGTGTAAGCGTCTCAGGGCAAAGGATTAAGACAGAAGGAACCTTTCACGCGACGTGTTCTTACAACGGAAATTCCACCAAGGCTTCTGTCATTGTTTTAAGTCGTCCTAATACAGCACTCATTAGTGCACAAGTTATTGATGAACTCAAATTGGTAAAATACGACGAGGGAGTCACGGGTGTTGACTGCATGATAAATTAAATAAAGGTTACATCGTTGCTTAATAAATATCCAAGTCTCTTCAGTGATAAATTAGGAGAATGCACTAAGTTAAGCGTTAAGCTACGCCTTAAGCCGGATGCTCATCCTACTCACGCGTCACGACATTCCAGTGCCGCTAGCGCTAGAGGAACAGCTCAGTGTTGAACTTGATCGACTAGTGGAAAACGCGATCTTGACACCCGTGGATATATCAGAATGGGCAGCCCCCATTGTCGTTGCAAGGAAACCTAACGGAAAAATTCGTATTTGCGCTGATTATTCCACGGGATTGAACAATGCTTTAGATGCAGATGACTACCCTATTCCAAATATAGAGGATATTTTGGCAAAGCTTCAGGGAAATACCATTTTCACACAACTGGATCTGTCGGATGCATACTTTCAATTAAAATTGGACGAAGAAAGCAAACCCTTGACTACTATCAATACACATCGAGAATTGTTCATGTTTAATAAGCTGGTTTTTGGTCTGAAGCCAGCCCCAGCAATTTTTCAACGCACCTTAGAGCAAGCTCTTGCTGGTATCCCAGGCGTTGTGGTTTACCTCGATGATATCCTCATTTGCGGCCGAAATCGGGAAGAGCATGACATGCATCTCAACGAGATTTTGAATCGTCTCCAAGAGTGGGGATTCAGACTAGGCATTGGAAAATGCAAGTTTCATATATCCTCAGTAAAGTATTTAGGCTTTGTAATTTCTAGTAAAGGTATTGAACCAGATCCAGCACGTATCAAACCAATATGTTCTATGAGAGAACCTAATAATACAAAGGAAGTGAGAGCGATTCTTGGATTGGTAAATTATTACGGAAAGTTCGTTCCTAATCTACATCGTTTAAAGGCTCCTTTAGAACTCTTATTAAAAAAGGACGCCCCTTTTGTCTGGAATTCGGCATGCAAGAAAGCTTTTCTTAAGATTAAGGAAGTGTTAACCGGTCCACTTATACTTGCACATTTCGATCCTCAACAGTCATTAATTGTTGCTGCGGATGCAAGTCCCACAGGTATCGGCGGTGTTCTGCTTCAACGCTACTCAGATGGACAGGTAAAGGCTGTTTTCCACATGTCAAAAGCTTTGACTAAAACGCAATAAGGTTATAGTCAAATTGAAAAAGAAGCTTTGGCATTAGTTACTGCCGTTGAGCGTTTTAGAAAATTTTTATATGGCTGACATTTCATACTCCAAACAGACCATCGACCTCTTCTGGTTCTGTTCCGCTCGTCTAAGACAAAGGGATTAGATACTCGCACGGCAAACCGCTTGAAGCGATGGGCACTCCGCCTTATTGGCTATGATTTTGATATAGAATATGTCAAATCTGAGCATTTTGGTCAAGCAGACGCCTTGTCCAGACTTATTCAAGAAGCCAAAGTAGGTTCCACCGATCCGGAATTGGAAGAAGTTGTTGCTTCGCTACAGGAAATAGAAACGGAACTTCAACAGTTGATTCTAGAATCAAGTCGTTTTCTGCCTAAGACAACTCGGGATGAGCTGCAATGAGGTACATACAAGGACGGAATTCTGGCCGAGGTTATCGATCGCCTACAGACGGGTTGGCTACGTTCTGACACTAAAGACAGTGACTTACTTCCGTATTATCGCCGTCGCGACTACTTATCTGTTGTGGACAGGACACTCGTGTCCGATGACAAGATTGTTATACCACATAGTCTTCGACTGGATGTGCTCCGACAATTACATATAGCACACCCAGGTATTCGTCGCATGGTTCAGTTGGCTCGACGTTATTTCTATTGGCCGGCCATGCAAGCTGATATTGAAAAATTTGTCAAGTGCTGCAAACATTGCGCGGAGACTGCACCAAATCCTATCAAGGAACCACTTCACCCGTGGCCCGAATTCAAATCGTCGTGGGACCGAATTCACATGGATTTTGCTGGCCCAATCCAAGGACATTGGTTCCTTGTTATCGTTGATAGCTATTCTAGATTCGTAGATGCCGAATGGTTTTCAACAATTACCGCAACTGCTACTTGTAAATATCTACGCCGACTATTCTTCAAGTATGGTCCACCCAAAGTGGTTGTATCTGATAATGGCACGCAATTCACGGCAATTGAGTTCGCTCAACTCTGCACAGAGTTCAATATAATACATTTACGCAGTCCAGGACACCCTCAGTCAAATGGGTTAGCGGAGCGAATGGTAAATACTTTAAAGCGTTCTTTGGAGTTACAGGTTCTATCAAAAAGGGAGACAAAGATGAACCAAATCTTGTACACGTATAATTATACACCATGCGAAGCAGTTCCTGGCGGTAAATCCCCAGCTGAGATTTTTTTTGGACGCAAGTTTAGAACTCCTTTGGACATTTTCACCGTTACAGAAAAGCCTAGACCAATTTTGTCTCATTCGCAGAGGAAAATGAAGAAACATTTTGATACCCATCACGGTGCAAAGACTCGCCGTTTTTTTCCGGGACAGCAGGTGCTGGTTCAACTCTCCAACGGTCGCCGAGTTCCAGGGAAGATAGTCAACATTATTGGATCGACGATTGCTCGTATCAAGGTTGACAATGGCCTTATAAAGCGGCACTTTAATCAAATCTGGAATCGAACGGTTTCCCCTTCCGAGAGGACTGATGGTGACGCCGAGGACCTACTACCAACGATGCAAAATCCAACAGCGGATCCCCCTCCTTGTCAACTTCCGTTTGAGGGGGCTAATTTCGCCAGCAATGTAGACCCTCCAGCCCAGGCCAGGGAGGAACCAACAGTTCGGCGTTCAAATCGTCTAGCAGGAGACGCTCGCCCGGATTATCGGAAGTTAGCTGGGTTCCGCCCCTATGACAAGCACTCCGCTTAGTAGGAGAGGAGTGTTGGAGCCCTTAGGGGCCCACGCGCGTTGGTCGCCCTGCAGACGCGCGCGCGAAGGACGACGCAAGCGAGGTTGCTGGAGACACACGTTGTGGGACAGATTTCTTCCAACCGTTACGCCTATTACAAGACTCTTTGTACAATAAACTATTGCTATACGCATATTCTGTAAACCTATCATTAGAGATCTATATTCTGCGAATAAAGTGCACCCAAACGACACAACACACACGATGAACGCTCTCGTGTTTCTTTTATTCTCAAGAATCTCGGGTTGTCGATGCAACAAGCTATATTCAAAATATCTCTCTTCCTCTACTTTCCTATATGTTTTAAATATTAATCGGAATAAAGTGAAGTGTATTAGATATTATTATAGTACTTCTACGAAATACGCAACATAAAAATTTGTGAGTGTGAAAGTATCCACTCTTGGCCAATATGCACTTCTTTTAATTTTAGAAATATGTTATAATGAAATTAAATTTAACAATTAAAGGGTTGGACCGCCTTGAATTTAAAATTATAAATTACTCTGGGAAATTGTTTTTTTGGAAAAACAATGGAAATAAAACAAAGTTTGTTTTAATGCGTTTGCAGTATAATTCTTTGGGAATAAAAGTCTTATATTTATTATTATTTTTCTTTTAACACAATTGTGACACTGGTGCCGTTTCACTAATTGCCCTATTGTCAAATCGACGTTGCGGGGGTCACTCGGTTGGAATAGGTTCAATAGGTACAAGAAACCAAATATTTTTTTTTCTACATATTTACTAAAGGAATACTAACGGATACTTGCAAATATTAATTTTTATGAAAATGACTTTTTTTCAAACATTCTTTATTTTCATATAAAAATGAATATCTCGAAGTATTCGTATATACTTCTTTAGTAAATATTATGTAAAAACAATTTTTCGTTTTTTGCTTCCAGTCGAACCAAATGGCACATCCCCATAACGCCGATTTGATAAAGGCAGTCTTTAAAACGGCTCCACAACTTTGTAAAAAAAGAAGGGTAATATACGATTTTGTTCCTAAGGGATTGAGCTGTACAAGTCTTAAAACAAACTTTTCATTACTTCCATTGTTTCGTAAAAAATATTCCCAAAGTTGCTTATGATTTTTAGACTCTCAAAATGGTATTATTTTTTAATTGATAAATTTAATTTTATTACAATATTGATTGGGAAATGCTAACAATTTATTTACATTTTCCGTTCAATAAATTTTCTACTACACTGTTAAAAAAGACATAAAATTTAATATACTTTTAAGTTGCAAAAATTAAATTAAATTTTATGATTACATTAAATTTTATGTATCTGTAACTGAAAAGTATATTTATGTACATGTACATGAAATTTTACGAAGTTCAGTACATTTTTAATTAAATTTTATGTAGATATGCATAAAATTTAATGTAAGTAAACATGAAATTTAAGTTATTTGTAACTTCACACACATTTTCATTGACAACACATTAAATATCTTTAATGTGCCTGCTTGGACTTTCCTTCCATCACACGTATAATGGAAGCAAATTCCAAGCAGGCACATTAAAGATATTTAATGTGTTGTCAATGAAAATGTGTGTGAAGTTACAAATAACTTAAATTTCATGTTTACTTACATTAAATTTTATGCATATCTACATAAAATTTAATTAAAAATGTACTGAACTTCGTAAAATTTCATGTACATGTACATAAATATACTTTTCAGTTACAGATACATAAAATTTAATGTAATCATAAAATTTAATTTAATTTTTGCAACTTAAAAGTATATTAAATTTTATGTCTTTTTTAACAGTGTAGTAGAAAATTTATTGAACGGAAAATGTAAATAAATTGTTAGCATTTCCCAATCAATATTGTAATAAAATTAAATTTATCAATTAAAAAATAATACCATTTTGAGAGTCTAAAAATCATAAGCAACTTTGGGAATATTTTTCGTGTTGTCAATGAAAATGAAGTTACAAATAACTTAAATTTAACGTTTACTTACATTAAATTTTAAACAAAAGTTTATTTTCTTTTCTTACAGTATATTTTAGATTTTTTAAACAAATTTAATGCACATTTTCAGTTATTAGAAACACGAATTCATGAATTGCAGCCAAAATCTTTAACATTACTTTATGAAATATGCCAAAATTTTAAAAAAAATGAGCATATAGAATGTTTTTTCTGTAAATATACTGTTCTCTTTAAAGGAAAATCAAAGAAACCTTGAAGAAATTAACTTAGGATCAGAATGTCAGGAATATCTTAACGAATTAATGATGCAAGGGCACGAAAACGTAGTTACGATAGTTCGAACTAACTGCTTGATGTTTTACGTGACTGCTGCTGAAGAAATTTGCAAAAGATTACCTGTGAACGATATTTTTTTATCAAAATTAAATGTTTTTGGGTCTTCAGAATGTTTACAAGATACTTGTAACGAAACAGAGATTGACGGTCGTGCACGACTTCATGCGATACGATATATACATATATATATACATATACGACAATATAACATACATACAATATAAGAAAACATAGTCGGCTCAGCACTCCACGCATACTCGTACAGGAGTACAAAGACGCCGTCTCACGTTTGACGGCTACCGCGCGGCATTGATCAAGGCAATACGCGGTGTTTTCGATCTCTCCGAAATCTTATTGCCTTTCACATCAAGCTCGATCTTTAGGAAGTAGCCGCACCAATTAGAGGGAAGTATATCGGTAGAGGGGAAACCCGAAGCCGCGAACTTTCGCGTTTTAGAGTTAGTCGAGTAAAGGCAGCGAGGCAGATCACTTCGTGAGCACGTCATACGTGGACGTTATACGTGAATGCGATAAGTGAACGCGGTACACAATAATACGGGCAATACTAAACATAAGGTGGAGTGACGCGTGTGAGTCCGGCTCTTGCAACGCGAAGCAGAACTTCGACGCGTTGTTGCAAGTGAACACTGGCAGGACTCAGGGAATGTCCCCTAGGCGTTGTCATGCCTATGCGACACAAATCTTCCTCACACGCGACTAATAGATAGAAATACGTTGTGCGGACACGATTAAGCTGTATACATACAGCATATATACGTATTGACGATTATGAAAAATTGTGATACGAAATAAACAGAATAAAAAGCGAAAAGACAGTGTGTGTATTAAGTTACCCCCGCTGAAGACGGAACAGTTTGGTGCCTCCTGTGAGGTTTGAGCCCGCGCTGAGACGATCAAGGATCAGAGGCGAACAATCAAGGAACAGAAACGATCGGTCAAGGTTTTTTCACGGATTTGGATTCAAACCAAGGGCGGTAATTTTCACATCTACCATAGCCAGTCAGAGTAAGTCGTTCGACCCTAGTTACTATAATCGCGAAACGATGTCGGACAGAATTAAATTTCTCGTGCAGAAACGAACATCCTTAAAATCGCAAATTACGAGCTTAGCCAATTTATTCGATAAGGGGAGGATAGATAACACCACGCTAAAATTGCGAAGCGCTCGTTTGACCGAACTATATCACGCGTATGAGGAATATAACGATGAACTCGCGGTACTCGATCCGGAAGGCGGTCATCAGGATGAATTCGCAAATGTTCAAGAACGTTTCTATTCCATTGTTAGTAGAATCGAGAGTAGCATAAACGCGACAGCTACCTACGGCGCGAACGCTAGCGGCGCCGGTCATGAAGCGCGAAAGGATGATAGCGGGAGTGTAGCATCCGTCGTAAGGCGACGGATTAAACTTCCCGAAGCTCCCTTGCCAACATTCGGCGGTAAATTCGAAGAATGGTTGTCATTCAAGAATTCATTTCGCAATATGATAGGCACGAGAGCCGATCTCTCGGATATTGACAAGCTGCACTACCTAAGGTCAGCGTTAACCGACGACGCGGCCAATAAGATAAAAATTTTCACCGTCGATGGAATTAATTATTCCGAGGCGTGGGATTTATTAGAACGATCGTACGAGGTAAAGCGGATACTGATATCTCAACATCTCTCATCAATTATAAATCTGCCCTCATTAGATAAAGAAAACACGGTTGGGTTATCCAAACTCGCCGATGACACGCAGCAACATCTCGCGTCGCTAAAGGTATTAGGCGTCTCCGTCGGATCCGAGATTGTCGTTCACCTTCTCGAGAGCAAGCTGCCAAAATGCACATTAGAGAAGTGGGAGGCAACTCTCGAGCGAGATCAGTTTCCGCAACTCGATGAAATATACGAGTTTTTATACAAAACCGCAGTATGCGCCTCAAAACGTGAAAGGTCAAAAATAGTAGATTCCGAGAAACGCAAAGGCGAGCCTCCGGTTAAAAAGAGGCATGTTGATTCAAATAAGGCTTTCGTGTTAAGTACATCGCGCGGCTGCATCATGTGTAAAACCAAGCGTCATCCATTGTACTTGTGTGACAAGTTCAAACGGCTACCAATACCCAAGCGTATCGAGGCAGTAAGAGAGGCGAAAATTTGCTACAATTGCTTGCGCTCCCATCGGGATCGGCCTTGCAAATTTTCTAATTGCACGATTTGCCAAAAACGGCATAATACACTTTTACACCTCGACGGATATGCCACCACCGGCAAATCCGATGCGACGAGGTCAAGCGACACGCCTCATTCATGACTAGCCGACGCGAACAGCCGTAACACGAGTCTCGTAGCAATATCTCGAAAAACTATTCCACAATTGCTAACGAGCGCGATAGTACTCATACATAGCGAACAGAACGCGGTCGTGAAGTGCCGGGCCTTGTTAGATACATGCGCGACTGCGAACTTTATATCCGAGAACCTTGTGAAGCGCTTAAGAATCCCCGTGAGCACTCGTCCGACGCCGGTCGGCGCGATTAACGCCATGAGCACCATTTCGAGGGGCGTGACGCGGATCGTTGTGCAGTCGATACGCGGCGACTTCTGTAGGGATTTAACCTGCTTGATCATACCAACCATCACGAATTTGATACCGTCAGAGGCTTTCCCGCGGAATTCGATAAAGATACCTTCGAATATTAAATTAGCGGATCCGGAGTTTCATTTGCCGCGTCCGGTTAACTTATTAATAGGCGCGGGGGCGACGTTGTCGTTGTTCTCCGTCGGGCAGATCAACCTATCCTGCGATGGGCACGATTTGTTTTTACAGAAAACGCGTCTAGGTTGGGTCGTAGCGGGTAGCACGGCGTTGCCTGCTGGGCAAAATTCAGAAACCTGCTATTTAACGAAATTGGAGAGTCGGCTGGAAGGATTCTGGGCGATTGAAGAGGTCGCATCGTCTAAGCCTAAATCAGTAGAGGAGACTGATTGCGAGGCGCATTTCGTGAAAAACACTCGCCGTGACATTAGCGGGCGTTACGTAGTTCGGCTCCCATTTCGCGAAACGAATAAACGTCTTGGCGACTCGCACGCCATCGCGCTCCGACGTTTCTTGTCGCTAGAACGAAAATTCCGCGCGAACGCGTCATTAAAAAGCGAATACACTCGGGTAATAGAAGAGTACATGAAAATGAATTACGTTTCCGTAATCGCGAACGACAATGATGATGGCTATTATATGCCTCACCACGCGGTGATTAAGGAATCAAGCAACACCACGAAGGTGCGAGTAGTTTTTGACGCGTCCGCGAAGACAAATAACGGTACGTCTTTAAATGACGTATTGATGACGGGTCCTATAATACAGGATAAATTATTTTCACACTTAATTCGGTTTCGCGCTTACAAGTATGTTATCACAGCAGACATCGAAAAGATGTACTTGCAGGTAATTTTACACGAAGAGGATCGCCGATATCAACGGGTTCTTTGGCGGTTGGAGAATAAGATCAAAACGCTCCAATTTAATACGCTCACTTTCGGCGTTTCCTCTTCTTCATATCTCGCAATTCGCACTTTACACAAGTTAGCGGACGATGAGCGCCATGCATATTCTAGAGCGGCCGAAATCATTAAGACTCATCTATACGTAGACGATTTATTGACCGGGGCCGATAGCATCGATGATGTAAAAATGATTAGAGACGAGATAATAGCGCTACTCGCGCGCGGCGGATTCAGCATCAGGCAGTGGGCCTCTAACGACGAACGCGCTGTTAACGATCTCGGAACCGTAGCGTTACACGCAAATCTTACATTCAGCGAGGATCGTTCTTTAAAAACGCTGGGCGTGACGTGGTGCGCACGGACCGATGAAATACGTTATTCTGCTCAACCCATTAAGATCGCAAAGAAATTAACAAAGCGAAATATACTATCGGAAATCGCGAAAATTTTCGACCCATTAGGATTATTAGGTCCCATAATAATGTACGCCAAAAAAACGATGCAAAACGTGTGGCGGTGCCAGTTAGATTGGGACGAATCAGTTCCGCAAAATATACACACGGCCTGGCTGGAATTTGTCAAGCAATTCGAGTTAATAGATCAAATCTCCGTTGATCGTAAATTGTTGTTGGAAGATCATCGCGACGTTCAGATTCACGGATTTTGCGACGCGAGTAATAATGGATACGGCGCATGCTTGTACGTGCGCTCGGTTGGAAAACACGGAGATACGGCGGTCAGATTATTGTGTGCCAAATCACGCGTCGCGCCTTTGAAAACCGTCACGATTCCGCGTCTCGAACTCTGCGGCGCGCTGTTATTGGCGCGATTATATCGCGAAATCGATAACGTTCTGAACATCACACGCGACAAGGTAATTTTTTGGAGCGATTCGACCGTCGTCTTACATTGGCTAAATACATCGCCTCACTTACTCAATACCTTCGTAGCCAATCGTGTCGCTGAGGTTCAAGGACTCACGGATCCGGGCGCATGGCGACACGTCGCATCGGTTGACAATCCGGCCGATGCGATATCTAGAGGCCAGCTACCACGCGCATTCTCGCAGAATCGCGTTTGGTTCAAGGGACCCACGTGGTTAGTTAAAAACGAACGTGAATGGCCGGGCGAATTCGCTCGAACGGATAAGATACCCGAGCTAAGGACAAATGTTTGCCTCGCAACGGCGTCCGGTGACTTCGCGATATTTGAAAGATGCTCCTCTTACTCCCGGTTGCTTAGAGTTATTTCCTATTGCTCGCGATTACGGCCCGCGAATAAATACACTGGAATGCTATGTGCGAAGGAGATTAGCGAAACTGAGACACGAATTTTGAAGATCGTTCAAGCCGTACGATTTCCCAATGAAATTAAAAGACTCGAACACAAGGATTCGACGGTAGGCGGTAAAATAGCCAATTTGTGCCCGTTCTTAGATGACGACGGTTTAATTCGTGTCGGGGGACGCCTTCAAATGTCAAATTTATCATTCGCTCGTAAGCACCCAATCTTACTTCCGAGTCGACATAGCTTAACTGATCGCATTATTCGCGAAGTCCATGAAACGCATTATCACGCCGGCATTCAAACGACGCTTTACGCTCTTAGACAAAAATTTTGGATAACCGATGGTCGCAATCAGGTTCGAAAGATCATTCGTGCATGCGTGCGGTGCTTTCGATTTGACGCCAGCGTCGTCAAGTACAAAATGGGAAATCTCCCATCGGCTCGCGTGCGTGAGTCGGCGCCCTTTGCAAACACCGGCATTGACTTTTGTGGACCGTTCCACATTAAGGAAAAAAGGTACCGCAATCGTACGCGAATCAAGGTTTATGTATGCGTATTTGTTTGCATGACAATTAAGGCGGTACATCTCGAGGTCGTCAGCGATCTAACGTCCGACGGATTTATTGCTGCACTGCGGCGATTTGTAGCAAGGCGAGGGGTGCCAGAGCATATCTATTCGGACAACGGGACCAATTTCGTAGGTGCAAACAATCAGTTGAAGGAGATGTACGCTTTATTTAATTCGGAAAGGCATAAAGACCTGATAAACAAATTCGTCAACGATCATAAAATCACGTGGCATTTTATACCGCCGGTAGCTCCGCATTTCGGAGGATTGTGGGAATCCACAGTGAAAATCTTTAAACACCACTTTAAACGCGTTGTAGGCGATGCATTATTCACATTCGAGGAATTGAACACATTCGTTATCGAAATCGAAGGCATTCTGAACTCGCGACCAATCACCTCCCTCTCTTCTGATCCGAACGACTTACTGGCGTTATCCCCGGCTCATTACATGATCGGTAGACCGCTAACAGCCCTTCCGGAGGGCGATTTATCCAATGTTCCAGTCAATCGATTGTCCACATGGCAACACATTTCTAAGGTGCGACAAGACTTCTGGACGCGATGGAGCCGTGAATACTTAAACGAGCTCCAAACACGTAGCAAATGGATCCAAGACGGGCCAAACCTCGACATCGGGACTGTCGTCCTTATAAAAGACAAGAATCTGCAATGCTATCAATGGTCATTGGGCAAGGTCACGAAGGTCCATCCAGGTGAAGATGGAATAGTGCGAGCTGCCACGCTTAAGACCACAGCTGGAGAAACGAAAAGGGCGACGAAATATCTATGCCCGTTACCTCTTCAGCAATGAAGACACGATGCGTACATTATTATAAGACCTGTATACATAGTATAAGAGACGCGTTACGGAAAAAGCTGAATATTGAGCTAACAAGCTATGCCATTATTAACATACGAATTATTCGAATCATTATATATATTTACGAGTCAATCTCCAATGCGTAAACAACACAAAGTTGATCGATCCTCTCTCAACGGGGGGAGGATGTAACGAAACAGAGATTGACGGTCGTGCACGACTTCATGCGATACGATATATACATATATATATACATATACGACAATATAACATACATACAATATAAGAAAACATAGTCGGCTCAGCACTCCACGCATACTCGTACAGGAGTACAAAGACGCCGTCTCACGTTTGACGGCTACCGCGCGGCATTGATCAAGGCAATACGCGGTGTTTTCGATCTCTCCGAAATCTTATTGCCTTTCACATCAAGCTCGATCTTTAGGAAGTAGCCGCACCAATTAGAGGGAAGTATATCGGTAGAGGGGAAACCCGAAGCCGCGAACTTTCGCGTTTTAGAGTTAGTCGAGTAAAGGCAGCGAGGCAGATCACTTCGTGAGCACGTCATACGTGGACGTTATACGTGAATGCGATAAGTGAACGCGGTACACAATAATACGGGCAATACTAAACATAAGGTGGAGTGACGCGTGTGAGTCCGGCTCTTGCAACGCGAAGCAGAACTTCGACGCGTTGTTGCAAGTGAACACTGGCAGGACTCAGGGAATGTCCCCTAGGCGTTGTCATGCCTATGCGACACAAATCTTCCTCACACGCGACTAATAGATAGAAATACGTTGTGCGGACACGATTAAGCTGTATACATACAGCATATATACGTATTGACGATTATGAAAAATTGTGATACGAAATAAACAGAATAAAAAGCGAAAAGACAGTGTGTGTATTAAGTTACCCCCGCTGAAGACGGAACAGTACTCATAGAGAAACATCATTCAACAATGTTTTGTTCATAGCTCAAACTATCGGTGGTTTTGATGAAGACGCTTTAAAGAAAGAATGGTTTGCATTGCCATTAGATTTTGCATTACAGAAGAAAATCAGTCTCGCTAAATTAAGATTCGATGATATGTGGAAACAAATTTTGACGGTGTGAGACTGCACCAAGTGTATCCCAAGAGACAACGCTATTAGATACGGATCGCACAGTCCATTCTCTATGTCTTTGGTCAAGATGCAGTATTCTATATGCCTTTAATTCCCATAGGCATCTCTTCCGCATTCCTGTGGGTAACCTGCACTAAATTCCAAATAAGTTCCAATAAGAGTTGGCATATATTTGACCAAATGCGGTTTTGTGCAGTGGACAGCCAGATATAACCAAATTTATACATACCTGGAAAATTATATTTGGCCAAAATTAACTGTTGTCTGTAGAAGCGAATATATTCCCAAGTCATCTGAAATTTTAGATGTATTCTAATCCTATTCTTAATTGGAAATGCTGGTATGTTCCGATTGAGTCTAGAATTCTAAATATGTTCAAATCTACCTCGTTGTTGGAAATGCTAATGTGCCCAAGTTATTCTGGAATGTGTTGTGTTGTTGTGTTGTGTTGTGTGTGTTGTTGTTGTGTTGTGTTGTGTGTGCCGAGTATATCCAAATCTAATTTATATAAAATAATATAAATAAAAGGCATAAAACCACGAACGCAAGATGTTAGTAGCGAATAAATATATATTTTATGAGTTACAATACATAGACGTTTCGGTCTTAAATCAGACCATCCTCAGTAATAAAAAAACCCAAGTAAGAGTTATAAATATAAATAGTATCTTTTGATGTAGTGTCTATGTACACAAATATTCCTGAGGACTTAGTTGTCAAAAATATCGAATTGAGATGGAACGCCATTTCTAGTAATACTAGTATTCCGAAAAAAGAATTTTTAAAAGCCATCTCTTTAATTTTTAATTCCACGTATTTTAAATTTGACGATCTTCTTTTTAAACAAATTTTTGGTATGCCCATGGGTTCTCCTCTGTCTCCTATCTTAGCAGATATTGTAATACAGGATCTGGAAAGAGATTTATTATCTAAATTGAATTTTAATATACCAATTTTTTACAGATATGTTGACGATATTATTTTAGCTGTTCCTACTAATTATATTAATGACATTTTACATGTCTTTAACTCATATCATGACAGACTGAATTTTACCTGTGAACACAATGACGATGGATCTATTGATTTTCTGGATGTCAGCTTGAAAGTGGAAAATGGACATATTATTTTTGATAATTTTAAAAACCAACTAATTCTGGACTATATCTGAACTACAATTCGAATCATCCTTTAGATTATAAAAGGGGGGTTATTATTGGTCAATTAGATAGAATAATTTTTTTATCACATCCTAGATTTCATACTATCATTGAAATAATGATTAATATTTTTAAAATAATGGCTATCCTTTAGACTTTCTCTTTTCTACGATTAATAAAAGAATTAATACTTTGTCGAGGCGAAAAAATGTATATAGCAATACTGGTTCTTGTCAGGATTCTAATGAGGGCAACTTTGATAATTTCTTCATTGTTCCTTATATTAAAGATGTCTCTGAAAAATTCAAATCTGTTGCTAAAAAGAATAACCTTAAAGTTGCTTTTAAACCTATGAATAATTTGAATTCTATCATAAAAACGGGTAAAGATAAATTAAAAACTATGGAACAAAGTAGTGTTGTATACAAAATAGATACTGTCTTGATTGTGACGCGACTTACGTTGGTCAAACGAAAAGGAAAGTTGCGACCAGAATTTCTGAATATAAATCTAACTCTCAGAAATCTAGCAATTTACACACTGGTTGCACAACACTAAGTTCAGCTGGATCATAATTTTGACTAGGATAACGTTAAAATTCTTGACATTGAATCATTTTTCCACAAGAGACTGACTTCTGAAATGATATTTATTAAAAAACAAATTAACGATATTAATAAACATAATGATACAGAGAAATTTCCAGAAATTTATTTACCGTTATTAGACACTTCGTCCAAAACTTGATCTAGAATTTTCTACTAGCGACACTGAATTTTGTATAAATGCGGTCTGCCATGGTCTGACTAGATTAATTTGCTTTTGATTGTTAACTTATACACATCTATTTTTCCACTTCCTTTATCTGCTTCGCAACCTATTGTTAACACAGGTAATTTTTATTAATGTACACTTCATAATTTAATTTGTGTTTGTTCTTCTGTTAATTTAACTTCTTATTTATACAATAGAATCGGGAAATTTTGTGCGCAATACGTTACAACGTGGATACTCATTACGACTTGCTGACTTTTCACTTTATTGACTACATTTTTGATTTGCTGCTCTTGGAGATGCAGTGTAATTTTTTACATCAAGAACAGTGTATTTTGCGTTTACTAGTTTTTATTTCCTTTTTGACTATTTGTTTAATGTTTGCGGATTTCGATTTGTATTTATAACTCTCACTTGGGTTTTTTTATTACTGAGGATGGTCTGATTTAAGACCGAAACGTCTATGTATTGTAACTCATGAAATATATATTTATTCGCTACTAACATCTTGCGTTCGTGGTTTTATGCCATTTATTTATATTATTTTGTTTAAAATTTAAACTACGTTTTGACCTAACTAATTTATATATTTGGAAGTATCTGGAATTGCACATATTTTGGATATAATAGCATTTCCAAATCTCTAAAAAATGAGTTTAAAATATCTCAAGAAATACTCAACGGAGCATATTCTCACCCTGGAGGTGGATGGGCGGGTAACTTTTTGATTTTGATTTTTTCTTTTTCTGTCAAAGACATTATACATACATACATATGCCCAATTACAACGAGAGACAGAATATAGAATTTTTAAAAATGGAAGAAATGTTAAGCAAATAATGAAAAAAAAACAGAAAACATATTAAATATTATAATTAGTTAGAAGAAATTAAACTGATAGAAATGTTAAAAAGATAATTGTTATAAGATAAACGCAGTATGATCGCATTACTCGGTTCACGCAATACAAATTTTGCTCGGTCTTCCGCCTTATAATGTTCGTTAAATATGTACATCGAGAAAGCCGTAATCAGGAACAGCGAGAATGTTGCATTCTGGCGGCGAGATGTTGTATCAAATAGCTGTGAAACACTTGAAAGTTCAAC